AACGTGGGTTCGATTATCGCTGCGGACTCATGACACCTGTGTGAAAAGAGTCAGTCAACGCTCTACCGAAAGTCGTAGGTTTTCTCAGGGATGTTGACAGGGTGGTTTGGGACTGGCCCCTAACTGACCCTTCCACAGTAGCTGTGCTCCGTGGTCAGACATGAGTCATAAGGTGGCTGCCAGAGGCGCCCTTAGTAAACCTTCAACTCGATCAGGTTGAGCTGCGTCCTTCGCAATTCAGCTTAGCTCTCAGCTGCAAGTAAAGGCCATGTTACACGGTGCAATTTTCCTTGCAACTTGCAATGTAATTCTACTCTTGAGAGATGTTAATTAGTGAAATCAGTGAAGAATTTTCGGTATGTTGAGAAAACATCAGCGGGGTGTAATGAAGACTCGTATTTGGCAATTTTACATCTCTCAAGAGTAGAATTGCATTGCAAGTTACAAAAAAAATTGCAACGTGTAACATGGCCTTAAGGATGATCAGCACACCATTCCTACTTATATACTTTAAATGCTTGGTTACCTTTGTTCCATTCTATGCACACATTATAGTGGTAACTAGGTAATATGTGAATTATCTGAAAATGTGGATTGGCATAGACATGCATTAGTTTGACAGGTGTATATTTACAAGAAGGCTTCAACTCTCACCTTACGTACGTCATCGTCTTCGTGTTGCAAATGATTGTTCACCAAGGTTATAATAGTTTTTCTACAAAAGCGAAAAAATACGACAGATAGAATAACTGATGCTTCGATTTGTGTAGTTTTTGAAAAAATATTCTTTAGCAAATAAGAACATTAAAGTTACTTCTTTAGAGCAGGATAAAATGCAACAGATTTCTTGAGTAAATTTCCCATCATTCCACAAGTCTTTGCACACACTGCGATACTGTTGTGACTCAGTAATAACTGCACTGTCTCATAGTCACCTACAATACAACGAGATGCTTTGTTAATAATTGTTAACATGCACTCACAACTCATAGAGCTATCCAGTATGAATAAAGTTAGTTTAGTATAGGTTTCCTCCTGTAGTAACACTAGATCAATAAAAGATGATCCTTACTGGGCCTCTAGGAAGAACAGTTTAGAACTTATAGAGCTATCCAGTATAAATAAAGTTAGTTTAGTCGAGGTTTCCTCCTGTAGTAACACTGGGCCGATAAGGATAGTTTAGAACTAATGGAGCTATCTAATACAAAGAGAGTTAGTTTCATAAAGGCTATTGTTCTGCTTTAGTTCAGGCGAGAGTTTTTATAAACCATGAACAATTGCATGCTGTAACTAACCTCGATCGCCTTTCAAGATAGATGATACAAATTGGACATGATCAACAGAACACCTTGCCATGTGACTGAGAATTGTCAGAGCATCAAGAACTACGGGATCTGGTTGATCTGATGAGAGCAAGGATTCCAGCAACCACTCTGCCTAGTAATGGTAATAATTAGATAAGTTAAATGCCGCCAGTGAAGATGACCTTTCCTACAAAGTAAAAAAAAAAACATTAAGAGGACTCATGTTGGTCACACAATGACAAAAAACCCCAGAAATACCTGTTGTTGAATAACTGCTTTTGAAAACTGGCTGACAAAGATTAAATCACTCAACACAAGTCGCATTACAAAACCTAAGAAAATTATTGTAACCAATTAGTATTTAATAAAATTCTAGTCCTTGAACTGGATTCTTAACCAACTCGATAATTTCTTACAAAAAATGCAAAAGACAGACCTAACGCTAGCTCCACGTTGTCCGGATACAAGACATTTCCAATGACATCCAGTAAACACTCCAGAACTTTGATTTCGTAAAATAAACTAAAAATATGAACCTGTTTTCATCAAATCATTCATTGCTGCATTTTAGGTGTAGAACTGTTAGGCTAGCCATTTATATAAGGTTGCCTATTACGACCATGCAACTTCACCTTATGGTCAATAAGCATTAAAAAATAATATCGTTATACCTCTGTAGATCATGTAAGAGTGATTCATCAATTTCCATTGCAAATGGAGTACAAAATATCTGAAGTATCTAGGAAGATGTGAAAAAGAGCATGTCAATATAAGTAAATGACGTAATATAGAAGAGATGGTATTTAAAAACATTAGACCTGGAAATATCATATCATATATATCAGGGATGGATCCAGCATGATCTGGTGGGGGAGGGGGGGGGGGGGGG